CCGCCACTTCGCCAAGGCGCCATCACCACGCCAACCTGCCTCCCACCGCCCCCCTCCCCCCCCGCACCCCCCTGCTCAACCCCTTCCACCCTTTGCTGCCCTTCCCCTTCCCCTCTGCCCTGCTTCCTCCCCTTGAGACCCTCTGCTCCTGGGGCACCATCAGCGCAACCTGCCCCCGCCACTCCCCCTCACACGTAGAACATGGTGGTGTCTGAAAAGTCGTCTTTGATGGACAGCAGGGGGGCGGGCCGGCCCCCCCTGCTGCCGCGCGACGACTCGCTGCCGCTGTCCGGCACGTCCAGCATGAGGCGGCCCCTGAACGCCGCCAGGTGGGCCAGGTCTGAAGGCGATGGAGGGGGTGAATGGGCACGCACGCGTGTGTGTGCATGCGTGCGTGCGTGCTTGTGTTTTGGGGAGTGGGGGGAGTGGTTGCAGGAAATTCATTCATACGGCTTGCGGGTGCGTTCCATCGGCAGGGTGGGATGGGGCCCTGCAAGTGGTGACTCTGGCAGGCAGTTCAAAGGCGGGCACAGGACGGCGCCAGGCAGTTTTTGAAGGGGACGTCATAACATTGCACATGCAAGTGGACTGCCTCCCTTTCCAGTCAAGCTCACAGCCTGCGAGCAAACCGGGAAGGGCGAGCAAGGGGCAGGAACAGTACAAGCATCAGCTAGTTGCAGGGAGTACTCGTGCTTGTGTGTGTAGGTGTCGGGGAGGCTTGAGGAGGGGGGGAGGCTATTTGAGCACTCATGGGCAGTGCAACTGAATGTGCCCATTGGTGGGCCCAACTCCTGATTGTGTTGCCAACAGATCGACCATCACACTCACAGGGAGGGGGGTAGGACACGCTGCGCGTGCAGCGCGCGTAGAGGTACGTGAGCCAGTAGGTCAGCAGCTGCAGCCTGGCCAGGAGCAAAGGGACGTGGTTCCAATGTGGGTGATGGTGGTATCAAGGGGCTGGCGGGAGCCAGCGGCGAATGCAGGGGCCAGTGGTTGCACACATCCTGCTGACATGTTTTGTCGGATTTCCTCCCCCACCCCCACGCGCCCCCCAGCAAGGGCCGCACCCGTCTGCGCTGAAGCCGTTCTCGTCCACCAGGACCTGGAAGTGCATGACAAGGGGATGGCAGGGGAAGGGGCGCCAATAACGACGGGCTCGAAAGCAGGGCAGGTGATCCAGTGGATGTGCGACCAGGTGCGTGCGTGCGCACCAGTTGCTGCCGTTTGATTTTGCCGGCTCCTGCTGCAGGGTTGTTGACAACAGGTCATACAGCCCTTGAAACCCCCGGTCTTTTCGCCTGCGGTGAGGGGGCTTGACATGTGAGGGCCTGCGTGCCTGGTAGTGCGAGGCCTTGTTGTGGCCCTGCAGGCCGGCGTGAGAGTTGAGGAAGAAGTCGAAGCCGGCGGCCGAGCAGATGCCAGCGTCGAGGACTGTGCCGGGCAGGGCTGAGGGGTGGGTTGCGTGGGTGGGAGCGCGCAATAAGGGGTTGAGATGCCTCTTACACTAGTGTGGCTGGTGAAAGGCATTGGCTCGCGGTTAGGAGTTGTGAGTGGGTGCAGCAGCCAGCGACTGCCGGGTGGAATGGTGAGCTCTCTTCCTCCACAGGTACCGTTCACACGGCAGTGATGAGTCGGGCGACTGCTCACTGTTGCCGGAGCGGTCCTCTCCGCTGCGATCCTTGGGGAAGAGGCGGGTGGCGTGGCGCTTCTGCACCACCACGAATGTGATGCGCGGGGTGTAGCCCGCCTCCAGGCCCTGGCAGGCCTGTGGGTGGTGAGGGCAGGGGAGTGTGTGAAGGTGCAGTATCAGCTGGGAGTGATGAACAGTGCCAATGAACAATTAGGAGCTGGAGGGGGGACCCGGGGGTGCAGCGCCGCCGTCCACTCTGCGACGTCGCACACCTCCGCTCCCTCCTCCTGACCCGTCCCGCCCCCCCCCCTTCCTCCTCACGCTGCGTATGGCCGTGTACTCCTCCTTGAGCACCGCGGCAAACTGGCCCTCATCGACACCGTCCCTGTGAGAAGGGGTGGAAGGGGGGGCGCGACAAGTACGGAAGAGGAAGGGCACGACGAAGTTGCGCAGCGCAGCAGCGGGTCGCTGTGCGCCTGCAGGGCTCCATGGTCCTCCCTTCCAACCCACCAGTAGCCGTCCTGCTCTGAGAATACATCCCGCACTTCAGCCTCCGCCAGAGATGTGAAAACCTCCATGGTCGCATGGGCCCACCATGCTGCACGATCCAACGTATTGCCAAGTGCATACCGCTAAGCACACACTGCCAAGCATTTATACCCCGGTTCCCGGCCTCACCTGTAGTAGATGATGGCCGCGGGCTTGTTGCTGTTGGTGCGGCGGTAGAAGTTCAGCAGCATGGCCTGCGGGGGCAAAGATGGAGCGGCAGCAGTGAGTGTGTGTGACTGTGTATGTGCGTGCGTGCGTGCGTGTGCAGGCATGAATGCGAGAGTGCGTGCGTACGTAACACCGTGCACGCAAGGGGTGCAGAAGTTTCTGCTGGCGCTCTGGATGCTGGGGAGGTGCTGCATGGTGGCACCTCTGGGTGAGAACCCCTGCCTGCCAGGCGTGGCTATGGAAGGGACCAGGGTAGTCGTCCACACATGCCAGGGCTGGCTGCACTGCGCGGGAGTCTGGGCCACACGTGGGTTGCTGTGTGCGTGCCTGTGTCGCATCCTTGAGGCCCGTGATGATCTCCTGGCGGTGGGCCTGCTGCAGCACGCGGCATGCGTAGCGCCCCATGGACCGGCTGCGGCAACAGGATCGGACGGCAAGGTTTGGGGGTGGTGACAGGCCCATGGAGCGAAATGGAAAGGGCATACGACATGGCTGTGGGTCCTCCCAGAGGCAGAACCCCCTGCCCCATCAAGCTGACCCTCCCCTCCGAGGGGCTGAGCCAACCCACTCGTATGATGCGGTGACGGCCGCGATGGAGGGCTCGCTGCTGTCAAAGCCTGTTGGGTGGGTCACGTCCGCGCCTGGCGGTGGGAAAGGTGCGTTGTTGTCAAGAGTTTAGGCATGAAGCTTGGTGTGATGGCGCCGCGCTTGGCGCTGGGGCTCAAGTCCCGAGCCTGTGGCTGCACCCCAGGGCAGCAGCTTGGTCCCTTTCACAGCAAGACTCACCCACTGCGTGATGATTTCAGTCCAGGGCGCGATGCGACCAAGGCGGAGTGGGGTTGGTTGGGTTGGGTGGAGGGGTTCAGCTATGGCAAGATTCTGCAGCACACAGCCTGGTGTCCTTGAAAAATGAGGGCCAAGCGACAACACAATTGATATAATGCAGCTGGCTCACACATCTAATTCTGAGAAGAACATCAGATATTGAAGTGCATGCCTCTGCAATCTGAGGTTGCGCTGCCCATTGTCCTGATCAATTCCCCGATCCCTAATTCCACGCCCCTCCTGCCCGCTCCCCAGTGCTCACTGATCATGAAGGGTTGGTTGCTGCCCAGCACGGGCATTTGCTTCAGGTCCCCCAGCAGCTTCACGTTGGTGCCGCCCACCTGCAAAGTTTTGGGAGGGTGCAGGTATTTGTGTCGTGGCGTCCATTTGGGGGGGCCAGTGAAGTCCAGGTGGGCTTTGTGAGTGCGCCAATGCTTGGGCCGATGGGACGAGGGCGTTCAGGACCAGGCTGGTGGGCGGTGTGTGTGGTTCCATGCGGCGCTGGCTGTTCGCTTGATCCCACGCCAGCCTCTCACCTTGACGTTCATCTTAAGAGCCAGGTTGGCGCAGTCTGAGATGGCGCGGGGCAGGGCC